ACAGGCACCTCACTTTTTTACAATCCCTCCCAAATTCCCCTCTCTTTTTTCGCTGGTAGGTAAAAACCCTCATCTCTCCCCACGATTTTCACTCGTTCTCTCATGATTGGAAGTTCTCCCTTTCTCATGGTTTCCGCCGTTTGCCGTTGCTGTCATTGTGCTACACCTCGTTACTTCATTCTGCTTCGGTAGGTGGTCCCTCTTTGCTCTGTATCCCACCCAAGGAATTTTGGTTTGGTTTTATTTATATTAATACATTGTTCCTCCACTCGGTTTTGGGTTGGAATTCTAGTATTGACCCAGGTTTATCTAGTTCTAGATTTGATAAGAATTTGTATGGAACTGACTTGGTGCAATCTTATCCTTAAGCATGAGATCACCCATGAAGATGGATTAATGGCTCTCTGTTTAGGAAATAGATTAACTTGTTTCATATCATACACAAATTGAAAAGGATATAAGATGGCAATGATTTCTAGGGTTTTAAATGCCCAAAATTGCTATTCTATATTTGAAGAATGTAGTAGAATGCTTTTAATAATGTCAGTGATAAGTTTTGGTGTTCTAGTGGCTTCATATGAGGAGATTGTTATTTACTGGGATTGGTTTGGTTTACCAAATGGGAGGTGTTGTTGGGAAAGCTTTGAGGCTTAATTTCATGGAGATTTTTGTTAAAAGGAAGGGTCTCAAACTAAACCCTATTTCTGTCATGTATGCGTTAGTCCCTGCAGGCATGTATTTTCATCTGCCAAAGTTAATTGTTATCATTATTTCTTTCACCATTTGATGTTTATATGCAGAACCTTTTTGCCATGTGAACGGAATCATAGTTCTTGTGCAGTGCTCTTGCTTGTTCATTCTGTGGATTTTTCATCCAAAGATGTGTCTGATATTTACCAAAAGGCGACTATAGAGCATATTTCGGTAATATGTTTGAACGCAAATGTTATATATGATCCATACACACATTATATACCCTACTTCTTTGGCTACTTCTTGGCACTCAAATTGTATACAGTTTTTCTTGTAGATACCTAATCTTAACTAGCCCGTTGCGCAGGGACTAAGCAGTAACATGAACCCAGAAAATAGGGTTTAGTTTTGTGACGGACCCTTCCTCTTAACAAAAAATCTCCCCCAGTTTAACAAAATCGTGTTAAGCTTAGAGAGTTGTACAAGACCACCGTCAATAAGTGCTTGTGGATCTGCATACCAACC